GTTGGAAGTCTTCTTTAAATGTCTGGTAGAATTCTGCTGTAAATCCATCTGGGCCTGGGCTTTTTTTAGTTGGGAAGCTTTGTATTACTGTCTCAATTTCCTAATATGTTATGGATCTGTTTAAACTGTTGATCTTTTCTTCGTTTAACTTTGGTGGTTCCCGTGATTTCAGATACCCATCCATTTTTTTAGATTTTCAGATTTAATAGCATATAGGTTTTTAAAATATTCCCTTATAATGGTCTGGATCTTTTGGGTGTCTGTTGTGATGTTTCCCCTTTTCTCTCTGATTTTGTTGATTTGGATTTGCTCTTTCTATTGGTTAACTGAGCTAAGGGTCTGTCTATCTTGTTTAGCTTTTCAAAGAACCAGCTCTTAGATTCATTGATTCTTTGTATTGTTCTTTTTCTTTCTATTTCATTAATTTCTGCTCTGATTTTTGTTATTTCTTCTCTTCCAGTGGGTTTGGGTTTCATTTGTTCTTGCCTTTCCAGTGTCTTGAGTTGCAATGTTAGGTAATTTATTGGGGCTCTTTCTAGTTTTTTAATTTAGGCACTTAGAGCTATAAACTTCACTGTTAGGACTGCTTTTAAAGTGTCCCAGAGGTTGTGTTGTGTCATATTGTCCTTTTTGTTGAATTCCAGGAATTCTTTTATTTCTTTCTTAATTTCTCCTTTCACCCACTCATTGTTTAGTCGTGTGTTGTTCAATCACCATGAGTTCATGTAGTGACTAGGGCTTCATCCAGTGTTGATTTTGAGCCTTATTGCTTTGTGAAACAATAGACTGCATGGAATTATTTCAATAGTTTTGTATTTGTTGAGGCTTGTTTTGTGGCCCAGTATGTGGTCAATTTTTGAAAAAGTCCCATGAGGTGCTGAGTAGAAAGTGTATCCTTTGGTGCTTGGGTGGAATATTTGAAAGAGGTCTGTTACGTTCATTTGATGTATGGTATCATTTAATTCAGACATCTCTCTGTTTATTCTTTGTCCATTTGACCTGTCTAATGGAGAAAGTGGGGTATTAAAGTCCCTTACTATTACTGATTTGGGGTTAATGTGTGTCTTAAAGTCCTGTAGTGTTGTTTTTATGAATTTGGGTGCACCAGAGTTTGGTGCGTATATGTTAAGGATTGTAATATCTTCTTGGCTAACTGTTCCTTTGATCAGAATGAAGCGAACCTCCTTATCTCTTCTGATTAGTTTTACTTTGAAGTCTATTTTGTCTGATATCAGAATTGCAACCCCTGCTTGTTTCTTAGTGCCATTTGCTTGGAATATTCTTTTCCATCCTTTTACCTTAAGGTAGTGCCTGTCCTTGAAGGTGAGATGGGTTTCTTGCAGACAGCAAAGAGATGGATTTTGTTTCTTAAGCCATTCTGTTAACCTGTGTCTTTTGACTGGGGAGTTCAATCCATTGATATTTAAGGTTATTATTGAAAGATGTGTATTGGTTGCTGTCATTTTAATTGCTGTTTTTGTTCTCTGTCTAATTTTGTGTTTCCTAGATTATACCTTTATTTGTTTTCTTTTGTTGCCCCTGGGATACAGTTGTTTCTCTCTCTGTTCTCTGTATTGCTTCAATTATTCTTTGAAAGGCTGGTTTTTTGGACATGTATTCTTTCAGGATATTCATGTCATGGAAGATTTTTCTTTCCCCTTCAACCATAATAGACATTTTTGCTGCGTAAAGTATTCTGGGCTGGCATATATTGTCATTTAGAACTGAAGTACCTTGGTCCAGCCTCTTCTGGCTTTCATGGTTTTCATTGATAAGTCTGCTATAATTCTGATGGGTTGTCCTTTGTATGTGACTTGTTTTTCTTTTGCTGCTTTCAGTATTCTCTCTTTGTTCTGTACATTTAGTGTTTTTACTATGATATATTGTGGGGAGTTTCTTTTCTGATCCTATTTGGTGTTCTATGTGCTCCCTGTATTTGTTTGGGGATGTCTTTCCTTAATTTCAGGAAGTTCTCTTCTGCAACCCTGTCTAAGATCTGGTCAACACCATTAACCTGAATTTCTTCTCCTTCCTCTATTCCTATGATCCATAGCTTTGGTCTTTTCATGGTGTCCCACATCTCTTGCATATTCCATTCCTGTGTTTTTTAAAAATTTTCTGTACTCTTTGCCTGAGTGGTCCAATTCTTCAACTTTATCCTCCAGTGTTGATATTCTGTTTTCCATTTCATTTATTCTAGCGGTGAGGCTTTCCCCTGTTGTTTCAAGTTGGCTTATTGAGATTTGGACTTCTTCATTTCTGCCTGAGTTTTCTTCAATGTTTCTCTTTCATGAATTCATTCAGAAGTTTATCCCTATGTTCTTTTAGCTCTTTGATTTGTTTGTTCGTGTGTTCTTTAAATTTGTTGAATTCCTTGATCATATTTATGATTGTTCTTTCAAAATCAGTGTCCTGGATTCTCTCTAGGGGGTTCTCCTTGTAGAACTCTTCTATAGGATTGGTGGAGTTTGGTGGGGACATAGTGTTTTGGCTTTCCATTTTATTATTCTTTTGTTGTGATTTTGGCATGTGAATTTCTTTTGTTGTTTATGATTCTGATATGAGAATTAAGTTGAAGTATGCTTCTCTTTGTATTATCAGGGTGCCCAGATCCTTTCTTTATTGGTTGTGTCAAGCCGGTTGGTACAGGGTCGATGTTCTCTCAGGTTTAATTTGGAGGGAACCGATGGCTTCAGGTCAGCTATTCAGGAGTACCCACAGAAGCCCAATTCAGGTTCCAGTCAGGTACACTCAGGCTTCCTTCACCATGTGGAGGCAGGATTTGGGGGCTCTCAGGAAGTACCCTGTTTTCTCAGGCCCTCTGCTTGAGGGAGGCCAGAGGGAGGCCAGGACTCAGCACTCTCTGGCGGTCTGCTGAGATTAGAGCCTCTACACTGATGGAGGTCCCAACTGACCCTCTCAGTCTGTTAGGATCTCAGCCTTAGCCTACCAAAGCCAGATCTGCCCTGGGGCCTTGGGAGGGGCCTCATGAAACCCCAGGTAGGGGGGTGGGTATGGCACAATTAGGGGAAACTCACCACCACGTGGAGGCAGGACTGGGAGCTCTCAGGCAGTCCCCTGCCTTCTTAGCCCCTCTGCCTGAGGGAGGCCAGAATTTGGCACTCTCTGGCGGTCTGCTGAGATCAGAGCCTCTACACCGATGGAAGTCACAACCCACCGTCTCAGGCTGTCTGTTAGGATCTCAGCCTTAGCCTCCTAAGCCTCTTAATTTTAGGTGTTTTTTTTTTAAATCTCCCCCACATTTAAAAAATTTGAGATGAGTTTTGCTATATTATGCAGGCTACCTCAGCCTCCCATGTATCTGAGATTATAGGCATGCACCACTCTGCCCAGCTCTGTGGCTCATTTTTTTTTCTGTAAAATTTTTAATTGAATTTTTGTGTATTTCATACAGAACATCTTAATCATCTTTATACCTCCTTCTCCATTGGCACCCTTCCATAGATGCCCTCATTGGAATTCACACCGTCTGTCATTTGTGTTAAGGCCTATCGTGTCAAGTTAGTGTCCCTAGACATCCTTCAGTGCAAGTTCATCCACTGAGGTCTAGTCAGCCTATCTAGAGTCCCTCCCTTTAAGAAGATCAGCTCTTCCTACCCAGCAGTAATCAGCTGCCAGTGGTTCTTTGACTAAGATTGGGGCTTGTTCCCCATTTCCATAGTTCTGTGCTTGGTTTTTATCTGCTTGAGTTTGCATGGGTCTGCGTATGCTGACACCATTGCTGTAGGTTCATATGAGCAAGGCCCCAGGAACATTTAAGACTCTATTTCCATGCACCTCCTCCCTGACTCTTAACAATCTTTCCACCCCTTCTTCTGCCCTGGGTGGGTGGAGTTTAAAATAGGAGTCCTGTCCAAGAACCCATACTCTGCAGACTCTTATTCTTTATGCTTTGGGTATTTATGACCTTTTGTGTTTCTGACCCTCTTGCATGAGGGAACTTCATTAATGAGAACTGAGTGATGCATTAGTGTCCTCTTTACCCCTTGTTCTATGTTCTGTGAGCCTTAGGTATAGAGGTTACATTGTACATGTGCCACTTAGACTTGGGAAATTCACAGACAATGTCTCTGTGTGGCCAGTTTTGGAACTCTGTAATAGAAGCTCCTTTGATGAGTGGTGACTGGGATACTTGTCTGTAAGTATAAGGATCCATATTTTGCACATAGTAAGAACTTACATTTGTCTAGGGATGTGACAGCCTTGGGGCTTTCTCTAAGCTCTGCGTGGCTCCTTTTTTTAATGGTGCTGATCTTTTAATGATTTTTTTCCATGTGCCTTTTTTTTTTTCTCTGAATAGCCTGGGGATTTTCTAAATCTTTCCACCCTGATCACTTTTGTTTCAGTTCTTATGGCAAATTTAGTGAAAGGCAGCCAACCCAGCCTGCAGTCTGAATGATTTGCTGCTTTGAAATTACCTCTGCTGAGTAAACTAGTCCATCACCTTTAATCTTGACCCCCATTCAAAATCCCAGGCTTTGAACAAAATGTACCATCTTTTATATAAACAAAGGTAACCTATAGTCTAATTCCTAATAGGTTCTTCATAAACTTTATTTTCCTAGTCTTCCTTCCTATGGTCCTTATATTAAAAAAAGAGCCTCTCATATTGTTACTGTTTATTATCTAGTGACTAGGCATAAGTGTCTTTCATGTAATAAAGCATGATACTAAAAAGAGATAAAAATACAACTCCTGTTTATGTTATTTTCATGTCCCTTATGGTAGAACACATTCATGAATAGTAAGTAATTTAATATTGCTATTGACTTATTCCACAGAAAAAATAGAAAAGCTGAATGGAAAACTTTAACTTTCTAGTACATAGAAATTAAAATCTAGTATTGCACTAGGCTGTGCTAATATTGGGCATTTGGTATATCTTTTAATATAATTTTATACTATTAAGTGATGTTATAAATTTTGAAATGGCATATATTTCAGTAATACTATACATTTTAATATTTTTATTTATACAGTATAAAAAATGGCTTAGTTTTGACAGTGCTAGTATAGGAGGAATTCTTGAGAGATTTATAGCTGGTTCATTGGCTGGTGCAACTGCCCAAACCTGTATTTGCCCCATGGAGGTATGTATTAATATAAAAATTTTAAGCTAAATTCATGCTTTTAATGCAACTTATAACTTCTTATAAATGATTTCCAGATAATTAATAATAGCTTTATAAGGATTTGAATCTTATACCAAGTGTTAGTCTCAGTATTGTATATAGTCTAGGAAGTCTATACAAACAGTATTGTATATGGACTAGGAAGATAAATTTATTAGTTACTTGCTAGTTAGGCACATATGGATTATATATAAACTAAGTTGAAAGTACTTTACTAGGGGCTAGGCAGAATCCAAGGGAGACTCAGTTGGGGATTTTTGTCATGTAGTCTGTAGTCTAGAAGTGAAAAAACAACATGTGTATCAATAATGATGATCCAAAATAGAATAAAAAATTCTAGAAGACAGCTCAATATATAGAGCTATGGAAACTCAAAGGGAAGAAATGTTGAGCAACATTTCTAACAGGTTGAGCAAATGAATGGAAGTTAATAAAACAAGACTTGGTTTTGAACTAGAAATAACATAGGTAAAGCATTGGAATCCAATCAGAAAGCCTCCTGAGTTTAATTTTAATTTCTTAAAACATACCTTTAATTCTAGCACTCAGGAGGCAGAGGCAGGCAGATCTCTGTGAGATTGAGACCAGCCTCGTCAACACAGCAAATTGTAGGCCAGCTGGGGCTGCAAGGAGTCCCTAACACAGAAACCCACATTTGGCCAATGTGTAGAAAACAAGAGGCCACTGAGTGCTTATCCCTGAATAGGACACCTGTTTCAAACCTTTACCTCCCAAGGCCCAGAGATCATTGCAGAAGACGAGGTAGAAAGATTGTAAGAGCCAGAGGGGGTGGATGACCACAAGGAAACAGTCTTCCAGAAAGCTGGTCAGTTACTCATATGAACTACAGCAATGGTGACAGCAAGCTCAAACCAGACAAAATTCCAGCACAGTCATGGGGAAGTGGGTAAGAAATCCCAATCCAACCTAAGGAACTTTTGCAATTGATCACTGCTGGGAGGGGGGAGAGACTATCTTACACAGATGGGACTCTTGGTGGGCCCAGTGGATAGACCTGCACTGATGGACATTTGGGGGCACAAATCAGACTCTGTAGGCTGATTATATATATGAGAGTACATTAAATTGGGTGAGGCAGTGTGGGGAAGTGCAGATAGGGATTTAAATACCACCAAACTATTGTATGGAAAAAAATCACAAAAATTTGAAAAAAAAATTTTTTTAAAAGAAGTCATTATAGACTATCCTCAGGCCTCTTGGGGTAAGTCTATAGCTCAGCTCTCCACGCCGGGACTCCCTAAGCCTCATTCACCCTTCCATCCGCCCCCCCCTCGCCGTTCTATACTCTTAGTTTGGGCCCTACGCCATTCCTAGTCTTGGGGCCCCAGACACCTGGGGAACCAATACTGCTTCCTGACCCTTCTCACCCAGAGCAACTCAGTCCCTTTCTTGGGCTCCAGGAGCACCACTTCTGGTCCTGGCCCTGCCCTCACCTCGCTCTACTTCCCTGGTCCTCCAACACCCGCCAGCCTCTTTCTGGGGCTGACAGCCTCTTTCTAGGGCTCCGAGGCTTACCTTTACTCCCCCCGACCCTTTGCATCCAGTACAACCCAGCTACTCAATCCACTCCCTGGGAAATCTTGGGGCTTCTTCCCTCCCCATCTGCCTTTGCTTCCCTGCGTGGCGCATCCACGGCAAGGGTCTCAGGTCAGTGCCACCCAAGTTCCTGAGGCCAAAAGCATTCTTAGAAGATTCCAGACCTAAGGAGAAAGTCTGAAAACTTCTGATCCACATTGGAGTTGGGCCACCGCGGAACTCCTGAAGACAAAATCAATCCGGCCTCGACAATATAAAATCAAAAGAGAGAACCAGAAGCTAAGACGAACCAGCTCTTCATACCCAAAAAGTAAACCACAAAGACACATAAAGCTCAAAAATAAAAGAAGCAGAACTAAACTTGAAGGCCCGAGTATCACACAAGAGTCAGAAACTACAAAAGAAATTCACATGTCAAAATCACAGAGAAAAAATAATAACATGAAAAACCAAAATAACATATCCCCACCAAATACCAGTAATCCTCTAGAGGAGCACAATGAGAATCCCCTAGAGACAATGCAGGACATGGAACTCAAAAAAACAATGATGAATATGATAAAAGAATTCACTGAATTTAAAGAACACACAAACAAGGTAATAATAGAGCTGAAGGAAGATAGGGATAAACTTCTGAATGAATTCAG